TGTGCATGCTGCCCCCTTTTTTTTTTTTTTTCTCTTGAGCTCAGCTCCATATTGAAAATACTGCTCTCCTAAAACTTATAACAACCTTAATTTAATAGTTTGTCATATCCTACTTTTCCCTTCTGCCCTCAAGGGAGGTAATACAGGAGTGAATGCTTCATGTAGCATTGAAGCTAGGTCAGAAGGCATCTCTATCATTGTATCTAGTCCTTAGAGGGAATATTTGTAAGTGGTTTAAAGGAGAACTATGGGGTCAGGGCTTTTCCCCATAGTTCTCCTTAGGGTAACGGGGGGACACAAACTAGCGCCCTCCCGTCACCCAAAGCTACAGCTCGCGGTATACTGAGACGCCGCAGCCGGAACGGATCCCGACAATTATGCCGGGATCCGCCCAGCTGCGTGAGTGACAGCTGGCTCTGCCTATCTAGAGGCAGAGCCAGCTGTACACGCCCCGTCCGTTCTGCTAGTCATCGCTGGAGGATCGGACAGGGGAGGGGGGAATCCAGTCCCTCCCCTGTCACGGCTCGCTTGTATGTGTTCGCTCACTTCCCGATCTACTGAGCCGACCTGTGACCGTTTCAATGTCACAGGTCGGCTCAGATTATGAGGCTGAGTGAAACTCACCTCATAATTCTCCTTTAATACACCACCACCATCACATAGATCCATATTCATAAACGCAAAGCATTGAAAATAGACCTCTCCTACGACTTGGCTTATGGCAGCATGTCTGACCATCATCTGAGGTTAATGTCAATCCCTCTGCAGGCAAACAGTGTATGCTATGGTACTGTGTCCCCCAATGAACTCAAGGAGAAAAGGATTTTCTATGGTGAGTAAACAAAAACAAAAAAACAAATCCTGTTTTCTCCCATCCTGTCTCTTGGCTATCTCTGCCTCTCTCTCCTCCTCTAGGAATATATCAGGCACAAGTTAGAGGAAGAACAGAGACAGTTAGAGATTCTCCAGCAGCAGCTTCTGCAGGAACAGGCCCTCTTACTGGTAAATCATCAGTTCCTTCCTCTTGCCTTTTACAGTACAGCCTCTCTTCACCTTGTCTTGGGTAAAATTTATTGCTGTAGTTCTAGCACTAGGCCCTCTCTCCGCACCGGCCACAGCTCAGCCCATGCCGTCATACAACTCTGTGACACCAGCCTGCTACGTCATTCGCTACCCTCATAAACCTTCTGCAACACCATGGCACCAGCCAGGGTCCCTCCATCAGTCTATAGTTAAAGCAGCCAAAGACATCTTTTGTTTTTGCCAATGTGGCCACGGGTATCTCTGAAGTGGGAAATGGTGAAACTTAGGGATACACCAATACGATACTGGTATCGGTGCTGATACTGGGAATTTGGGAGAGTACTCATATTTGCCCAAATGCTCCAATACCTTCCCCCATACCGGAACTTCCGGTCAGAGGGAGATTTCCTCTGACCAGCAGTACCGCGAGGGAACAAGGAGCCGGCTTTATGGAAAATCAGGGAGATGAGTGGCGCGTAATGACTCGCCGGCCGGCTTCCTGATTGGCTTCCCAGCCAATCAGCATCAAGCTGGCCAATCAGCATGGAGCGGGCTTCCCGGCCAAACAGGAAGCCAGTCGGCGGGTAATGAAATGACCCATCTCCCATCTTCCTGATTGGCCAGGAAGCCGACTCCATGCTGCTTGGGCGGGAAACCGGCCTACCGGTCAATCAGCAGCAAGTCAGCCAAACAGCAAGAAGCTGGCTTCCTGATTGCCTTGAGCAGCAAGGAGCTGGCTTCCTAATGACCCGCCTGGCTTCCTGATTGCCTGGAAAGCCAGCTCCATGCTAGCACAGGTACCGGTACTCTGTATCGGTGAGTACCGAAATATAAATATCAGTACTCGGTACCGAAAAAACTGCTATCAGTGCATCCCTAGTGAAAATAAAAAGGCCTTGGTGGCAGAAAGAAATAGCTTAGAAGAAATATTTCCCCTGTCCATAATGATCTGAAATCCGGCAGGAAATGGATAATGGGATAAAAAAAAGTGAAGAACACAAATTTGGCTTTTTATAAAGGAGTGGAGTTAAAAACCAGCAGAATTTTGACTTCTCTTTATAAATCGGATGCAAAATGTAATAGTACAGGAGACTGCTAAAAGGTCACTCCGCCCAAGCTGTCATCACATCAGTGCCGCTGTCTGCATCACTGTATGTGAGTGAAGGGTGGCTTGGTGACGCCCCCTCAGGGGGCGGGTCTGAGACTTAGACTGTCCTAACTGCAAGACTAGACTACACCAAATTGTTATTTCGCTGTGTATTGAGCCTGACCATTAAGATCACTGTTTTTGGATAGAGGGATAGTAGTCAATGGAACTTCATAATGAATTTAGGGAAAGCCCAGCACCATTTACAAAGTTGCACTATATCAGAGAGGGGCACAGAGTAGGGTTTTCTGTCTAATAAAGGCAATAACAGGCTTCCTGCGAAGGTTATTCTTGGGTCAGACTGGATAACTTCTCAGGCAACAGTTTCATTTTAGAATTTTTTAATTTGGCCGGCAGGTTCATTTTAAAGAACTGCTGCAGGTATGAAGTGCGCATACCCACGGCAGTCTACCCAAAAAATTGGGCAGCAACTCTGACCGATAATGTTCAGGAGGCTGGAAGGGGTGGGCAAACGTTGCCACTATCAGAACTCATGACTAGTTTTTAAGTGCATGAGGAGAAAACTTAGAGCAACCCGTGGCATGTAGTGCCTTTCACATAGCACTACAGTACCATTGTCTCCTGCTATCTGGACCACACAGCTCTCCCTGCAGCATTATGGAAAAGCAGAGGTCCCGTGGGTTTCACAGATGTTAACTTACCTTCATGATGGGCGTGGATGCCAGAGAAGCTTTTTAGGTAGAGATATTCCCTGTCCATTCCTGCAATTTCCACACTGCCATCCTCTCGTCTCTCCCTTTCACTGTGTTACAGCTTTAGACCTGTTCTTTTCTTTTTATTACCGTAGATGAACTCTGTGTCCTCGTTTTGTACTTAGTGTCAGGGGGTATTCATAAAAATAGGAAGAATGGGTACTGGTTATGTTTTCCATGGCCACAAATCAGATGGCAGCTTTTATGGAAACACACAGGAGCTTACACTCTAATGTGGTGGAGGCCAACCAGACGCACTTAATCGTTTATATGGTTAGGACATGTTATACAGTGCTGTATAGAGCAGAGACTGCTGAACCACTCATACCAGTACCTGCACCAGAGGAGCTTACACTCTAATGTCCCCCCACAGTCACACACTATTATTATACATTTATATAGCTCTGACATATACCGCAGTGCAGTACAGAGAACACTGAGCCAGTCACATCCATCTCTGTACAGAGGAGCTTACACTCTAATGTGGTGGAGGCCAGCCAAACACACTTAAACGCTTATATAGCTCTGACATGTTATACAGTGCTGATACACTCTAATGTCCCCCCCACAGTCACACACTAATATTATACATGTATATAGCTCTGACATATATCGCGGTGCTGTACGGAGAACGCTGAGCCAGTCGGATCGTCTCTGCACCAGAGTAGCTTACACTCTAATGTCCCCCCACAGTCACACACTATTATTATACATTTATATATAGCTCTGACATATACTGCAGTGCTGTACAGAGAACACTGAGCCAGTCACATTAGTTTCTGTACAGAGGAGCTTACACTCGAATGTCCCACCACCACAGTCGCACACTAGTAATATACATTTACATAGCTTTGTCCAACTTTAGGAACTGGGCGACCTGAAGAAGCCTGCACTAGCACATAGAGAGCATACACAGCCCATGTAGGTAGTGCCACATGTGAGAATGATGCAGGACTTCCTGTTCTGCTTTTGGGGCCACAGAGCTAACCACCAAGCCGCTCTATAAAAGTGAAGAGGTGATTGGTGGCCATGGGGTACAATGCCATGTATTACTTTCTGCTGCACCACTGAATACCCCTGTTAGTGTACACGGCTTCCTGTAGTTTAGTAGAATGGTTCTCGCTGTTTGACACTCGTTACAATTTCCCATCATTCTGCTGACACACTGAACAAGCTTTGTCTGGGCAGGAGTACAAGCGCAAGCAGCTGGAGGAGCAGCGCCAGTCGGAGCGTCTGCAGCGACAGCTCCAGCAGGAGCACGCCTATCTGAAGTCGCTGCAGCAGCAACAACAGCAACAGCAGCAAGAGAAGAAACCGCTGTACCATTATAACCGGGCCGTCATGAACCCCAGTGAGAAGCCAGCCTGGGCCAGAGAGGTAGGTCTACTTATAACCCCACCTATTGCTCACCTGCGTATCCCTGCTCGGTGCTGTGTAGAATTTTCCAGGTACGTCCATGACCTCTCTCCTAGTGAATGGGTTACGGACAGAGAGAGCCACTTAATTGTTATCATGTAGAGCTGGCTTGCTGATTTTAGCAGCATGTATGGCAAGTCCTTTTCCTTAGGGATATAGGTAGATGGAGGGTCCCTCCGCACTCCTTACAACGCTCACAGCCTATATAGAAAGAGGTGCTCGCAGTGATGACCACGGATGGCGCCGTGCAAACACAGGATAGAGGACAGAATCACCAGCACTCGGTATAATCAATGAATATGTCCATTTGTTGGACACGTAGTCACAATAAAGAAAGCCAACGTTTCCGGGCCACGCAGGGTCCCTTCATCAGGGCAAAATGGTGTGACTTAGGAAGTCACTAACCTGGAGCAAGTATGCCGGTCTGGAGTTCCTACTTCAGTGGCTGACAGCTGCTTCTGAGTCAGTGAATCAGAAGCATTGCATCAAAGATGGTCTAATGTAGTAGTTTATCAACTTACAAGGTACGACGACAGCCCATGACATCACCCAAAGGGCCACACGGTGTTCAGTATAAAATACTGGAGGGGACCGTCACTGACTGCAGATATACTAAAGGAGATAATGGTCATATACTGTTTACACACTACAGGTTTGGTTGAAGACTGGAGACATGTTACAAGGGATGTATTACACGAGGCTAATGGAGATCGCAGCAGATATGGCTGCCCCAGCTTTCCTTTATAATTGCGTACTATACATAGGAACATCAAAAAGATCATTTCAGTTACAACTAAACTATAGAAAATCATAGTTATCATATAGGTACCCACTGAAACATCCTAAATGGCATGTGCATTTCAATATGAATGTCTCTTTCAAGAGTTAAATGCCTCACTTTAAGTGTTTCAGTGTCTCTCCTGCTGCTTCCTGTCACAGGGACCAGTTGTAAGCAACCTTGGCACTCCAGCTATTGTGGAACCACAAGTCCTATGATGCATTGCAAGACTGTGACATTCACAGGCATGGCTACTAGAGGCAAAGGCATGGTGCAGTTTCACCACAGCTGGATTGCTGAGGTTGCTTTCTCATGGGTACTGAAATCCCACCATAGTTCAGCACTGCCTTTATGGGCAGTCCCAGCTGTCCTATGCCCACCCAACCACAGCGTAGACAGATGGCGCTTGGTGTTGCACAGCATAGCCCAAGAACACATCCCCGGCCCACCCACAGCGCTGCATTAGCTCAGCATCTGAAGGGAAATGTGGTTCATCAACAGGCATTTACATCGGCAAGAGATGTAGCACTGCCCTCACTTCTTCTGGTGACTTTCTAAAGGATTGAGATGGGAACGGTATCCGATTGGGGTATAAAGGAAGATTATAAAGACATTACTTGAGAAAACGTTTAAGATTCTGACATAGTTGTTGGAGAGGATTCCGGGGAGTGCTCTTTATGGCTTCCCTCAGTGCAATGTCGACAGTCACGTACTAGTTTATCCCAAAAGAGCTTCTTGCTCTTTCTCTCCCAGCACCGATCCCCCGAACTTCCAGTCATGGTGGGCACCCCACTGTAAACATCACAAAAAGTCCTATGACTGCCCATGGTGGGGCTTCATGTCCCAACATGCTTCACACCATTATCACAAAGTGCATGCATAAGCAGCATAGACTTTCAGCTGGTCTCTCCAGCCATAGCTGCCAATCAGTCCTTGGAGGAGGGACTGAGGAGTAAGCCTTTCATGGAGTCCCATGCTGCTTGTGCATGCCGGTACATGGAGCGCCAGCCGGTCGGGCTGCTCTGTCAGGAGGGAGCGTTCTTGTAGGGGTGACTTCAGGGGACCCTACAAACTCAGAGGATAGGGAGATTTCGAATGTAAATCGCAGAGAGGTGACGGGTAGAAAACAGAAGTGCAGAATCATGCGGCTGTTTTTCATTTTTAAATATAGAGTTTAATAACACTTTAAATACCCCAGGAAACAATTGTGGACACGCATACAGTATATACCTACCTGCATGACTGTGCCGTATCTGTTCACCAGGTGGAGGAACGCTCAAGACTGAATAAGCAAAACTCGCCTCTCTCCATCACAAAGCTCAGCTCGGTGGACTTGTCGGGGCCCCTGTCACAGACTCCTCCATCCCACAGACCACTAGATTTTCAGGACCATAAGGTATGATAGATTGCAGGCCTCTGTAACAGTGCCACGTCCAGGACGTCTCCATACTCACAAAGGTTTGATCGTAGATAATTGTTATTCAATATATAAGCTAAACCCGTCACTAACCTGGGCAATCCAGACTGAGCTATGGCTTCTAATCAGAGGTAACCTCAAAGGAAAATCATTTGTCATAATGATGAATAGATCCACAGGTATGATGATGATCCACAGGTATGATGATAATCCACAGGTATGATGATGATCCACAGGTATGATGATGATCCACAGGTATTGCCAGCTAAAGTCATACTTCGATCTCGGCTTTTATTATAAAGGACAGGCTTGGCCCCTCCTAAATCTCAAAGCTTCTTTTTTCAGTCATTTAAGGCTCAACTCCGGCCCAAACTCTTTTTTTTTGTCTATCATCCATTGAGGGACGGCTCTGAAGAATTCTAAGACGTAGGGATAGGCCCCATTCACACTAAGCGGATTTCCGCCGCGATATCGCGCATTTTTGCGAGAAAGTCGCCAGCCAATGATTTTCAATGGAGCTGTCTTAATGTACAGCTCCATGTTGCTCGTCGCGGTCGCAAGTTGCGCCTGCATGACCCTTTTTTTCGGCGGATCTCGCACGATTTTTCTACTTTTGAATGCAGCCCGACGGTGAAGGTCGTCCTAACGTCGCCCCGAAATTCACGCTATCCCGGCCGCGCGGATCCGCTCCAAGGTATGTCGCTCAGTGTGAATGGGGCCTTATGCTGCTGCCTCCAGGAGAAATGGACACACAAGGAAAACAAATTAAAAGCATGTCAATTTAAGGACATAACCTCTCACACCTGCTGGTTTTGTGTCCTCACGGGAATGGACATCTCCTCTTTCTGTAAAAAAAAATAAGTCAAAGCAACTGGACTTGCTGTATTTTTCTTGAAGACGTTTCACTGGTCACCCAACCAGCTTTCTCCATTCAGAATTTTGGATTTCTGAATTGAAAAAGCTGGTCATATGACCAGTGAAACATCTTCAAGAAAAATACAGTAAGTCCAGTTGCCTTGACTTATTTTTTACAGATATACCATGTGACCTGGATGAACGAGAACCTTCACGAACATCTCCTCCTCTTCTACTTTATTATTGTTTTAGTTTATTTTGTTTCTTCGGTGAAGATTCTACTACCAAGAGCTGCTAGTTGATTCATACCGGATATTATTAAATCCTTGAAGTCTGGGCTATACATACGCTTTATTAATATCTATTAAGCACATAACAGGACTTAAGGATGTTTGTCTGGCAGGAGTTCTGCTTTAAGGATAAGAAAAGCAGCATAGAATGTCTGTGTTAGAGCCTTTCAGTCATTCCATTCATTCATGTACTCATTCCATCATCCATATCTCCTTCAGCCACTCCGCAATGTTCCACAGAACCGCATAGTCCTCAAACCCAGTCCCCGACCGAATTCCCTTCAAGACCCAGCACCTGCTCCCATTCGCCAGCCAGCTGTTGTCCCTTCTGTATCTCGGGGCCAGCTAGCTCGTCAGAGTTCAGACCCCTCACCGGAAGTTGTATTGCCTTCCGTTCGACCCGACAGGGGACCCTGGGTGAAAAAGGAACCAGAGGTCCAACCTCCTAAGGTAATGGGCCACGGCGTACCTTCGCTTGCTATTGGTCCCTGTCCGTTTTGAGTGTTCCTTCTACTCTGCTTCTAATTCTTCATCTCTAGCTTATTACTGCAAAATTGCACTTACCAGATTTTACAGTTCTTGAACATGGTATAAGCTGCTGCTACTAAGCTTCTGCATCTAATCTAGTGTTTCCCAAACTTTGGTCAGTTGGGTAATTAGTCTGCAAACATGCATACACCTCCCACGCATAGTTCCTCCCATGCATTCTCAGTGTCCTCACCTCAAGGTGTCCATCACTATCCTCGAAGAGCACCATTAATCAGAAAGCTCCCAGGCCTCTTGAAGATAGTTTATGGAGGCAGACAAATGTAGATTGCTTATTCAGCCACCATGCTCCTAGTGAAGTCTTCCTCAACCTCTAAAGTTTTCAGGTCTTAGGGAACACCTGATTAAAAGTAGTTAGATCAACAGCTCACGGTACAGATGAAGTCAGTGAAAATTGTAACAACCCCTCACATTGGTGATTAGTAAAAAATTGCCCCCCATATTGATGGTAGGTGGAGAAAGGCCTCTTACGTTAATGGTCAGTGGGGAAGCCCCCCTCATTGGTGGTCAGTAGAAAAGTGCCCTCTATATTCATGGTAGGGTGGAGAAGGGCCTCTTACGTTAGTGGTCAATGGAGAAGGCCTCCCTTACATTGGTGACCAGTAGAGAAGTGCCCTCTATATATTCATGGTAGGTGAAGAAGGGCCTCTTACGTTAGTGGTCAATGGAGAAGGCCTCCCTTACATTGGTGACCAGTAGAGAAGTGCCCTCTATATTCATGGTAGGTGAAGAAGGGCCTCGTACGCTAGTGGTCAATGGAGAAGGCCTCCCTTACATTGGTGACCAGTAGAGAAGTGCCCTCTATATTCATGGTAGGTGAAGAAGGGCCTCGTACGCTAGTGGTCAATGGAGAAGGCCTCCCTTACATTGGTGACCAGTAGAGAAGTGCCCTCTATATTCATGGTAGGTGAAGAAGGGCCTCTTATATTTCTGGTACGTGGGATGAGTGACCACTTACATTTTTGGACGGTTGAAGAAAGAATGTCCTTTACATTAGTGATTTACATTTGTTCTTTGTCAAGGAACCTCCAACAACCTCTGGAGGAACCCTAAGGTTCCACATAACCCTGGTTGGGAGAAGCTGCTCTAGTGTCAGCTACTGGTGGTGGCATACACTAAAGTGAGCATGTTGCACTCCACGGTGTTGTCCACACAATGATACGGGACACAAATGTTGAGGTTTGTTGCACGCCATCTAAAGGGAAGATGAAAGACCATCACTTGCTCACATTACACTTTTTGGGAAACCCTTTTCTAAAATATTCTTCCTGGAAACTCACTTGGTGAGGGTGTTGTCACCTTTAATGCTCAGACGATGGTGCTCAACTAGCTACATGCTGCTCCTTTCTTAGAAAAAAAGGCCTAATGTTTTATTGTCTTTCTGGATACAGAAACAACATTTTTAAAAAATCAACATTAAAGGCAAGCATAATTCACTTTAAGGAACAGTCTGAATCATTTTGGAAATGCTGCATCCCTGCTTTTGTCTGGTCATGGGACTAGTGCCAAGGCATCGCATTGCAGGGGGTAGATGGGGCCCAGCCTGACTTAAAGGCCACCTCCCCATCTCTTAATCAGAGCAGGGGGACCCGGGGAAATACTGACATTGACTAAGCACTGGAAACAATGTAGTGTGACTGCACAGGCGGCCTGCTCTGAGAATGGATGCTCGCTGCAGATAAGGTCATCCATTATTTCCCATATAAACCACTGCAGAGCTTCAAATTGGATCAGAACTGCACTTTTCCCTTTAATTTTACCTGCATTACCTATCTATTAATACTAAGGCTGTTACTGATTAAAATTTTCGTGTTCGATTAATCAAATTTTTTTTAAATCGATTAATCGATTAATTATAACGCACATACAGATCCAACTACATTGGCCTATACACATACAGCACAGCAATGAAGTCATAAAATGAACTAGGATCACACTAATCCAGCACGTTATTATTCTCACGTGCCCCACTCAAGCGGCGGCCATATTGAGTGGGGCACGTGAGATTAATAACGCGCTGGATGAGTGTGATCCTAGTTCATTTTATTACTTAATTGCTGTGCTGTATGTGTATAGGCAAATGCCTTGGCTGGCGCTCGTGCAGAAAGTTTAAAAAAAAATGTAATTGATCAAAAAGATTAACAATTAATCGTTAATTTGCACAGCCCTAATTAATACCTATTGACATTATATTCCATCGTCCAAAGAAACAATGACTTTAAGAATTAAAACAAATCTGTGCTCCATTGGTGTTCCATCTGCCATACTGAGATCGGCCGGTATTGTCCTATAGTACCCTGGCATATCTGGCCCTTGTTAAGAGCCCATACTGATGGGGACATTGTTACTGTATTAGAGCTTTAGTGCAGCACAGAACAGGGTCTCTTGGCTAGTTAGTAATAAAGCTGAATATTTTGACAAGTATAACAAATAGTGAAGTCAGGAGCTGCAGTTGAGGGCCCCGTAATGTAACCGGTTGTGCACCATCTACCATCTCTCACCCCTAGTTCTGAGTTTCCATCTGCTGCTTTCTGTGTAACAAGTTTGTCTTTGTGTGTCGTCCCGGGACTCTTCTTCCATGTGTCTGCTGCTTTTTATTCCCCTATAATCAGTGCTTGACTTTAGAGCTTTTTCTTCTGTTTTTGGATCCTGAGATGACTTGCTCTATAAGGGAATTTTCCGCTTTAATCCATCTTTCACCTCGCGTACTTCCTCTTCTGTTTCTGCCATAAGAAAAATACAGAGCCTGCAATTGCTGACCTCCTTTTCTGGCTTTTTACTTCAATAAAGGTCTTTTTAATTCCGGGTTATTGGTCCGCTTTAATTTTGCAGCCGAGCCACTGTGCCCAACCTCATTGTTTTTATTTTTTTGCAGGTCCCACAGAGGACGACGTCCATAGCTACAGCGCTGAATACAAGTGGGTCAGGTGGGAACAGACAGGTCCAGGCCGTGAGAGCCAGGTAACTAGCCTCAAATGAATCTTAGAGAAGAACCTCTCCTAGCTTAGAGTAGAGGAAGCCGGCATCGTGCACTTGTCACTCAACGTGATATTCAAGTCAAAAGCTGTTTTAAATGCTAATCAAATCGCTTAAAATGCTTATTCTTGGCGTGACGTCACCACCCTTCGGGGAAGTTTCCCGGTGAATGCAGAGCTGGTGAAATCTCATGAGAAGACACTCCAGTCCATTGCAAGAGTGTCTATGTGCAAGATTTCCATCACCACCCTTCGGGGAACTTTCCCGGTGAATGCAGAGCTGGTGAAATATCATGAGAAGACACAGTCCATTGCAAGAGTGTCTTTGTGCAAGATTTCCATCACCATCCTTTGTGGAAGTTTCCAGGTGAATGCAGAGCTGGTGAAATCTCTTCAGAAGACACTCCAGTCCATTGCAAGAGTGTCTTCGTGCAAGATTTCCATCACCATCCTTTGGGGAAGTTTCCAGGTGAATGCAGAGCTGGTGAAATCTCATTAGAAGACACTTCAGTCCATTGCAAGATTTCCATCACCACCCTTCGGGGAAGTTTCCCGGTGAATGCAGAGCTGGTGAAATCTCATAAGACACTCCAGTCCATTCCGGTAAGATCCACAGGATCTCACCGGAAGAAGGGTTACTTCATTCTCACCTAAGCGCTGCAGGTAGAAGATACAAGTTAGATCAATACAGCTTACAGATGCATTTTGCACCAACTAATAGGGTGACCTGTGAAGGAGGAGGGGCCCCAATAAGTGTAAGCGGACCTTGCATTTCACGACAAGGTCCACTTCAATCAGTACCAGCAGTCAGATTCAAACAAGTTTCGGATGGCTAACGCTGACTGCCATTGCACCGAGCAGGGCCTGAGGGGCATTTGCACAGCGCTCCCTCCAGAATTCACCGACCCGACAGGTGAGCAGTTTCCTGGCAGCTGCAATGGGCTACATAGCTTTTCAGATTAGTGTACATTGACTGGACTTGGCTGGAGAGATTTATTTCATTGATCGGATTTAGCTAAAGTTGCTCTTTATTTTTTTTTCTTCATTTTTTTTTTTTATTGTAATGAGGAATGAGCCGAGCATTTGTGAATCCAGCTCCGGTATAGGTTCAGAAGAAGTTGTTGTTGCTGCACCCCTATCGTCATTCTACATAATTATGTTGTGCTGAGTATGTACTTTGTTCTTTCTTCTTCCAGTAACCCCGACCTCCGCCGAGCAGAGAGCGGCTGGGAAAGGGGAGATTCTCTCCTGCAGTCTCCTCATCCAAACCTTCCCCAGGCTGGATCTCTAGAGAGGAACCGCATAGGTGAGACCAAAACACCACCATACCCGTCACCTATGTATTGTTACACGTGGTCAGGTCTGAGCTAAGGCGGAACTGTCACTAGTGTGATCATCTACCTGGAGGCATGGGGCAGAGCTCACCACATCTATAAATGACCATTCTTATACAAGTTTGTTCCATGACCAGTAACCATTCTCTCAGAAATTGAAATGTACACTTAAACAGGTTTATTTATAAAGGTTTTCATCCAAGATTCACACATTTTCTAATCTGATTGTGTTTGGGAAATGAATTGGGTGAAGGTTAATTGCAATATAAATGGGTAAGCCGTATTAGTCCAGTAGACAAGATGTCAAAAAAGACAAAAACGCAGTATTGCAGTGTGCAATGATACCTTTCTTATCGGACTAACAAAATATATACAAGATAAGCTTTCAAGAGTGAACCTCTCTTCTTCAGGTCAGAAGCAATATATATATACACACACACTTTTTGGATGTGGTGGGGAATGATCAGAACCAGTGTCAGATTCTTACTGCTGCCCAAGTCCTCAATGACGGGACTCAATGTATTTGTCTTGGTGACAGTATTCCCCTGGACAGAAGGTACAGTTGTCACCAGAATAGGTGTCCCCATTGGGAGATTTCCCTTCAACTCCTGTTTCGGGAAGCAGTGTGCAATTCCCCCTCACTTTGTAGAGATTTCCTCTCCGTATAAGGGGTTTTCTCTGCCTAGGGTCTAGCTAGGGATACACTCAAAGGAAATCTTTGATTTGCTTATACAGGGTACATTGACAAGTTCACGTCACCCAGTTCACTGTTCTCTGATGCCCTTATGTAAATACCAACATTCTGCTCTGAGTACTGGCATGGCTTGCCATCCGGAAAGTGTAGAAGGTCAGCCTGGTAACCAGTCAGGTGTAGTGTCTCTGCAGCTTCTGATCTAATGGTTGCATTTCGCTGATATGGTGCGCCTGTGTTTTTGAAATATTTCCTGCTTGTGTCCCTGGCAGTCCCCCATAAGCTGGAGGAGCCCTCTATCAGTCCGCCAGGAAGTAAAACTCCAGGAGAGGAGCACCGGTCCCGACCAGGACGTCCAGCTGTGAGTATCTGACTGCTTGCATTCTATTCCAGATTGACTGTTGCCTACTACCGCACATTTTTCATTCCTTAAGTTGTATTTGGTGATTTTACTTTCTGAATTTCCATAATTCTTTACTTTTCTCCGTCCTATTGGACACATAGAGGTTCTTCTCAATCATCTGCACTTAAAACAGCATTCAGTTTTAGTTAACCTTCAGGCGTGTTTGTATTAACACACATTAAGGGGGTACGTTTGTTGCCTGCTGAAAATAATCTTAGCTTGGTCATCACCCTCAAAGCTGAACTCCGGGCACAAAAACGTTAATTTAAATATATTCCTCCATAGCCACAAAGGATGTAAGTCCACTATAAATCACGCTTTAAATCTGATGTTTTATATATTTTTTACATTATTTGTATACACATCTTAAAGAGGACCTGAGCTGTCCAAAAAACGGCAACGGACTAGTCTCCAGTACTGCTTGTGTTCTTCCTGCAGTTGATCTTTCCCCATTACCGACTTGCCATGCCTTGTTCTGCACTGTGCCTCTATGAGGTAGCAGCCGTGTTGGTAGAGGCAGAGCTTTGCTTTCTCATGTTACTGCCCCCTTCCCCACTGATGACAGGTATGCTGATGACTGGTGGGGTCATGATCAAAATGCAGCAGGAGAGAAGTAGGAAGCACAAATCCAATGAAATAGGAGCAGATAGATCCTTGCACTGCAGGTCCTTGGGTACAGCTTCCTCTCCAGCAAGGAGAACAGTGAGCAGCACAGTATTGGAGATTCTTGCACTGCAGGTCCTCAGGTAAAGCTTCCTCTACAGCAAGGAGAACAGTGAGCAGCACAGTATTGGAGATTCTTGCACTGCAGGTCCTTGGGTACAGCTTCCTCTACAGCAAGGAGAACAGCGAGCAGCACAGTATTGGAGATTCTTGCACTTCAGGTCCTCAGGTAAAGCTTCCTCCCCAGAAAGGAGAACAGTGAGCAGCACAGTATTGGAGATTCTTGCACTTCAGGTCCTCAGGTAAAGCTTCCTCTCCAGAAAGGAGAACAGTGAGCAGCACAGTATTGGAGATTCTTGCACTTCAGGTCCTCGGGTACAGTTTCCCCTCCAGCAAGGAGAACAGTGAACAGCACAGATGTGACATCACTAAATCTCTTGGTTGAGGCAGGCCTCATGTTAGAGCTGCACCCCTGATGACTGGCGGAGTAATGATGATGAAGAAGCAGCAGGAGAGGTGGAGGAAGCACAGATCCACAGTATGAAGCAGGGAGATCCTTCCACTGCAGGTCCTCAGATACAGCTTCCTCTCCATCAAGGAGAAGAGCGAAAGTGACAGAAGTGACATCACTAAATCTCTTGGTTGAGACATGCCTCGTGTTAGAGCTGCACCCCTGATGACTGGCGGAGTAATGATGATGAAGAAGCAGCAGGAGAGATGTAGGAAGCACAGATCCACAGTATGAAGCAGGGAGATACTTGCACTGCAGCTGCTCAGTTACAGCTTCCTCTCCAGCAAGGAGAAGAGTGAGAGGGACCGTAGTAATGCCACTGAATCCCGCTCATATGTGATGAGATTTGCTGACACTCATTAGAACTGGAGAATTGGCTTAGAGAAGCTACGGAATGTCTTCAATGTTACAGAACGAGTCCATTTAAATGTGACTAATCACTATTAGCTATACCATGACCCAGTTACATGAGAACCTTCACAGACCATGCTTGCTAAGGTCGCTCTTGAACTTTCCTCCTGTTATTTGAGGTCATCCTTTGTGTTCTTCTACATATTTCGTTGACATGTCTCTGATTCTGACATTCTCCCTTTCATTGCGATCCTCATAGACGTGTGTGTACTGATATCACATTCGTTTGTAAGAGAAGCAAAGTGATATTATATTGCACTAATCTCTTTCTTTTCTCTACTGCTGTCAGAGTTATAAAAGAGCGATAGGAGAGGTTAGTGTTGCTGTGTGAGGTCTTCGTGTTACTGTCACAGTGATGTGCTGTGCCTGCTGTGTGTCCACGAGTGGCATCAAAGCCCCAACTCCAGCCAAAACCTGGAAGAGAAGGACGCAGCTCCCAAGCTTTATCTGTGATGCTGGTTTTTGGAGACTCAGGAGCTGGCATCGGATGGAGCTCATCCACACTCCTCGTGCATCATCCAGAGTGGGGAAAAAAAACGTTCTCACCCCAATAATCATCGCTTTCAATAAAACGTTCTTGTTCCGGAGAACAGGCACCCAGAAGGTTCGCCTTGGACCTCCCTAATCTGATGTGTTTTACCCTAGTGTGAATTCTGTCATCAAGCCATTCAAGAGTGAAATGAGCGATGGGGTCCTATGTGCTTTTTCTCTGGAGCAATAAAGTTTTATTGAATGCTGAGATCATCGATGGGCGACCTTTTTTTTTTTTTTTCTTCCAATGTGGATGATCCAGCCAAAACTTGTTGCTGCTGTAGAGTGGGAGAGAATTAAAAAATGTTAGGTTGCTGTGTTCCCATTGGAGAGATTTTCTGTTACATTCTATCCCAGTGACACCTTGGCTGGAAATAAGAGGAAATCTCCCTAATGCGGACACGGCAATAAAATCCAGGACTGAGCGCCCGGCACTTCCCCCCCACTCTATTCAGCATAAAAATTTTTTTGTCTGGAGTTGATTCAAGGTGTACTTCGCCTGGCCTGGGTGGTTCCATATTATCACTTCGTTACCATTGCTACTTTTTGTTTTTTGGTCATACATTGCACTTTGTTTGTGCGGTTTTATGTTTGTTTGTATTTTTGTCCTTTTTTTCCTCCCGACTTTTTTATTCCAAAGTATATTAAATGTCTTTGTGTTGTTTCCTTTCTTAGGACCACTTACTAGTGAAAGATCGCCCAGAAGATGTCCCCAAACCTCCCAAGAAGGCTCTGGATTATTCCTCTTCTAGCGACGAGATGGACAGCAGTGATGAGGATGACGAGGAGGGCGACCAGGAGAGGCAGGAACAGAGCAGGGACAGCTCATCCGCCAGGTAATAAATACAGAAGCTGTTTGTTCTCCTTAAAGGAGAACTATGAGGGGGGTGCTTTCCACTCACCTCATAGTTCTAGCCGACCTGTTACAATGAGACTGTCACAGGTCGGCTCAGTAGATCGGGAGGTAAGCGAACACATGCCGGCGTTCGCTCACCTCTCGATCCTGTCACAGCTCTCTGCCGTGACAGGTGAGGGGCTGGATTCCCCCTCCCCGCTCCGATCCGCCAGCGTTGACTGGCGGATGGGACGAGGGAGGGGGCGGGTACAGCTGGCTCTGCCTCTAGATAGGCAGAGCCAGCTGTCACTCACGCAGCTGGGCGGATCTCGACATCAACAGCTCCAAACCCCCAAACAATGATATATTTTCTGAAAGCAGAGGCCCTGTAGAATAAAAAGATGCTAGTTGCAATTTTTTATGTCGCTTGGTATTTGCGCAAATGTTTATCAAACCAGTATTTTTAGGATAAAATAGACGAAAATTAAATTTAGTGCATGGAAACAGAATATAATGCCCATTTTTTGGGTAAAATATAAGACGGGGTCACGTCGGGTAAATAGATACCAAACGTCAAGCCTTAAAATTGTCAGGTCCTCTTTATGGAGACATCAGGGGTCTTTCAGACCCCTAATGTCACCTAGGGACCCCAAAGAAGTTGATGAAGCAAATATCTGCTTCACCAGCTGCTTCTTCTGGCTCTTGGAGCCGGAAAATGTGTCCAGTGACACCGGAAGTGATGTAATGCACATCACTTCCAGGTCCAGTGATCAGAGGAGAGATCAGCAACTGGAAGCCACTGATCTCTCCTCCGATCCATCAGGGGAGATCCTCCACGGGGGACAGTGGAGCCCGGGAAACCGACAGCAGCACCGGCGGAGGGGGGCGACATACGACACAGCCCCGTACGAGCGATCCGGCGCCTGTACAGACGCTGGATCGCTTGTATTTAAACAGCAATCACCAGCTGTTTAAAACGGTACCTGTGTTCTTGGTATAACCACCTTCAGCGGAGGATGTACATTTACACGAACCCGCTGGAAGTGGTTAAAACTGAACTCCGGTGTTCCCTTCAGACTTGCACATTATAGGTTTTGCTCGCATTGGAAGCATGGAGAGGATGACAGTGCGGTGACCCAAATCACTGCCCTAGTATCCTTTTGATATGCATCTGTTGTCCTGTATCTTTTTGAATGCACTGTTAGTATTCAAGCCATGATGAAGGGGGGAAGCTTTGAGCCCCCCGAAAACACATTGGCATGAAAAATACATTCTTACTAGATTCATTTAAGTTTGGCACTCTCATCCTTTTAATGCACATGAGACTACTACTAGGACTCGGGTTGACAGAGAGCAGCCTCTAAAATGTGGATTCTTTCCTTAAGATCTGCCTGCCCTGAGTTCCAGTGCTCCAGCAGTACATATATTGCTCATATAGGAAGTCTGATGTCTTTTGTTCACAGCAGATTTGCACTTCTCACATAGAGATGAGTGGGAATGAAAATAGCAGCTTGGTGCAGCTTAAGCAGGGGGGTCAAACACAGGCGCAAACCAATGCAAAGTGTGTGCTGCTTGTGCCAGGGAACCTGGTCTGAATCCATTCGATGATGATGTGGTGCTGAATCTTAGCTTTGCGAAAAAGGAGGAGGTGGCCTACATGCGGCATCTGCTGCCGTTGCCCCGTCTGCATGAGGCTGTGTGGACCATCGCCTTGTTTTACTGCAGGTCAGATGCACCTGTCACGGAGCTCAGCATTGCAAGCTGAATGGACCTGAAAGCACAGCGTGTCAGCCCGCATGTCCTCCCTGATTGTCAGACAGCGCATCCATTATTTGGACCAAAGGATTACCAGTGAGCATTAGCAGTACCATAGTTCATTCTGATTGCCTTCACTATTCTTGTGTTTCAGTCGGAACGGGCGAGATGCAGACACAGATAGCGTGAGTACCATGGTGGTCCATGATGTGGAGGAGCTGGTTGGCAGTACGTCGGACAGTTCATACGGAGATGGAACCATGATTGTCCAGAGGGTGAGCACGACTGTTTTTCCTGTTGCTGTGCATGTCCCTGTTACCTCTTGATTATTGCAACTCCCTTCTCATTGGCCAACCTCTACACAGACTATTTCCCCATCAGTCCATCATTAATGGTGCTACTAGAGTCATCCACCTTACCATCTGATCAGTGTCCGCCACCCCTCTCTGCCAATCACTCAGCTGGCTTCCGATCCCCCAACTAATACAGTTCAGAATACTAAAAACAACATGCAAAGCCATCCACAGTCCTGACCCCTCCAACCTCATCTCAAAACATCACCCAAACCATCCACTGAAGACCTCCTGCTCTCTATCTCCATCACCTCCTACTATGCTCACCTCCAGGACTTCTCCAGAGCCTCTCCCATCCACTGGACTTCCTTACCCCAATCCAGTTATCTCCTACTCTGCCCCTACCCAGGGGATCCCTGAAAACTCATCTCTTCAGGGAAGCCTTTCCCACCTCCACATACTAACTGAAGCTTCTTGGGGCTTGATGCTGAGGAGGAGTGCTCGGAGATGAGGGAGCACATTTTGTACACATTATACCATCATAGGTACACATAGTAATGTTCTTTAAGGTACACCAGACTGGAGGCTGCCATTGCTTCCTGGAAATGCTAGTTGCTTGGCTGTGCAGCCTTACATACTTACACCCCACCCAAACCAAATATGCAGCAAATGAAAGCCAGAGTTCTTTATCTTCATCCCATGTCGGTGTCTCCAGATAACTAGCAATTTTAGAAGTCCTGGCCACCAATGGCAGCCTCCATATTCTTTCCTGGCTTATGCACTTTAAGACCTAGGACACCTAACTTCTTCCTAGATTTCCTTGCAACCCGCCATCACTTCTCAGCATTGTAATTGGCTGCTTTGTGCGCTCATTATCTTTTTTTTTTTTTTATGTCAGACGCCAGAAGAAGAAAGAAATCTTCTCCACGCCGACAGCAACGGGTACACCAATCTACCAGACGTGGTACAGCCAAGCCATTCCCCCACCGAGACAAAGGGTCAGGGTTCATCCCCCAGCAAAGAAGGCAGCGGAACTGACGTGAGTGCTTTTAGATCTGAAAGTATAAGTGGGATGTAACTTGAACTTGAGGTGAGGACCTGTTTTAAAGAGACCCTGTCACCTTCCCCTGTGCCAAATTCAGCCTTCTAGCCATGTATACTTACCCAGTCACACTGGTTTCCCTCAGCAGCATCCCACCTTTCTTGAGCTCCGATATCAGAGCTTAGACCGGGGGAATGATGACATGGCACCCCCATTTGACATTATTGGGGTCAGGTGATTGGCCTGAACACTGTCTAATAGAGAAGATCATGTGCTCTCCCATACTTGGAAATCCCACTACGGGTGAGGGAGTGTGGATGGGTAAGTATACATAGCTCGGGGTGGTGGGCTATGTACAGACACTGGCACATTGCCCTATGGACAAAGTGACCGTGTCTCTTGACTGGACATACTGAAAGCATATATTTCTTTGCTGTGGTGCTATTATGCCCGCTTCTTGTATCTCTTATGTCAGTGGTGAGCTTTCACCAGAGTTCTGTCTAGTTGCAGCAAACTATCATTATTACCTTATGTTAGGGGGCAGAGACAAACACTACTGTAGAAAAAGATGATCACCAGCTCCTCTGGGGTAGATCCCTGAATGTAGACCCCTATTGAGACAAAATATGGAAGCTGCAGTTCCCTGGCAGTCATTGCTGTCTAATAGCTTCAGTACTAAACAATTAGGTAGATCAGGAGTTCCGACTTCAATGGCAAGTCAGTGGCATGCAGGTAGCTATCCTTTTCAGAATGAGGTCATCAGTGGTAGCCCATACATTTTTTTTGATCC